TACCTAGGCATATTGTTTAAAAATTTAAAATTATAAAATGTCGACTATAATAAAAAAAGTGATATGTATTTCGTAGGTACGCCGTACGGGGCTTTTTTTTCCTATGGCGGGGCTTTTTTTACCGTATTTTTTTTCTGGGGCTTTTTTTTCCGGGGCTTTTTTTTCCGAATACCAATAATTTCAGACGTTTATTTGAGGTATTTTAAAATGTTTGTAACTTTTCAACTTTTCTGGTAGGAAAAATGCTCTGATCATAAACTTTGATGCCCGGTGTATGTTTCTGGAAGCAAATTGGACTAGTTGGTGCCTACATTTAGGAGGTCGCAATTGAAAACTCTCAGTGCTTTTTGAAATAATAGGAGAAAAAAAAATTGTTTGGTAACCAGCTCGGTTACCTCACCTGGATTGTATTTGATTAATTAAAATGTTTTTTTTCTATAAATGCAGTCAATAGAAAATTATTTATCCGGTTGAAAAGCTTAGAAATGTAAAACGTTTACCCGAGCAGGTAATATTATTACAATATTAGATAAGACTTCTGCTGGCCCTGGTGATGGGGCCAACGACTTATATTTTATGTTACTTGCTGCTACGGAACCCTCCATGTCCGACTAGCACTTGGTTGCTTTTTTAGGATTCTGAGCGGAGCGAGGGAGCTAGTGGTTTTACAATGGTGTTTATTTTTTTAATTTTGGCAATTTAACGAGTTACAGTGGTCAGAATTGACATCTTCTTAAAAATGAAATTGGACCATCTAAGACATCAGATCAATGGAGGAAGGTACATTTTTATTTCAGCGCATAATATAAAAATACTAATTAATAAAGTAATTATTGGTAATGTACCTACTTACACTAGGCTGACTAACCGAGTACAAACAATCAATCATTACCTATTTTTCTTTGATATGCACCGACATTAACGTTATCAGTTAACATTACTCGTGTTATCTCTTATCATTTCACATTTGAGCGTTCGCCTTACCAAATTTTAGCTCTCGCGCTTTCACTGCACTAGTGCGGTAGTGCACTAAGCCACTAACTCGCTGGAATAAGCGACCGTGAGCCAAAATTCATGACGTAACACCTATTTTCAGTGATTTTCTGAGCTTTTCAATTCCCCAAAACGAACGGCGCGGCAGCGCTCATAAGTCATAAGTGCCTAAATGCGTTCAAAGCGCCCATGTCGAACGCAACCTATATCAGCGGATTTCATATGTGGATGTTGTTGTACAATCCGTGGTTGTTACTTGTTGGATCCTGAAATATCGATTGCGTTGAACACGGAACACGATAGACGGAGTTATTGCTGCATTTTTGCCATGTTTAACATGTTATCATTTTATCAATATTGATATTGCGGCGAACCACAGACTTCTATACTACACTGTTACAAGCTCAGCTGTGGAAGGCTGCCATTTTGTCGGTTGGCAAAACATTTCATTTATTGCACAAAATGGATTAGGAATAATATAAATAAAATAGTAAAATATGTAAAATGACTTATATAAAATATTTTTTTTTTTTTTTAAACAACATGATAAGAAATAATAAAATACGATATAAAATAAATCATAATATCATCTTATTTGTCATATTAAATTAATTAATTAAATACCATAAAATTGCCAACCGACCTGAAAGCTTCAATTCATTCGCTATCTAGTACTATATAGAAATCTGTTCGGCGAACCGACACCACATCAAAGAGCTATGAGCAAGAGCTGCGTATGCCGTCCGTTGTATTCCTCGCAGTCGTAACTCGTAGTCGTACCAACTACCAAGTACCAACCAGGGCTGGCGAGAGCTTTGGTGGGCGCCAGGGCCGTCACTTATATATACTTATTTTACTGAGATTTATATAGCTGTATAGCATTTTAATACAGTAGCGATACCTACTTAATATTTAAGTTGGATGAATTGTAAATAAAAAAAACATAATATTTGGTATATATAATCTTTTATTAAAATTGAAGAAAATAATTCAACTATTCAACAGTAATTAATGAATAATTAGGTTCAGTTAAAGTGTTCCGGGGTTCCCTTTGTGGCCAATAGACTGTATAGGTAACTCAGTCGAAGCTGTGGAAGGTTTAATATATTGCCCGAGTGATAGCTGTCCTTTTTTCGAACATATTATTATCTGATACAGTCGGTCGTTATTGGTCGTATTTAGGAATTTACGACTATATTATATTATATTTATATATTTATATATATTAACCATATTATTAATAGCACACACTATATAAAAAACAACTACGCGATTATACCAATCGAACCCGCGTTGAATGCGAGTTTGTTTTGTTATCTATATGTGCGTTCTCTGTTCATGATGTTGTAGTGATGACGTTGGAATTAATGAAAAAAAAAAAATAAAGTTAATGGTATTATGAATAGATTCGTATTAGTATACTAAGTATATACTGGTATACTGGCATTAGCATACCTACTGCAAGCATATACAACTAATATACTATAATTATTAAGATTCTGAGTGAAAATGTAACTAGTAACTATACCTAGGCATTTATTGATGCTGTGTTTTCGTTAAAATTTCTGATACCTACACAATAACTGTTATAAGATTATCAATCAACGTACGATACGTATATTATATCTGTATATTAAAAATAATGTTAATATATAGTTTATAATATTATATATTATAATATTTACCAAGATAGTTATACATTTGTTTATGTTTAAAAAAAAAGATTTGATTTTAAATATTTACTTTTTCATTTTTTCTATTATAAATTGTTTAATTAAATACAATTTTTTACTGGCCTAAATTGTGTACCCTAATCAGAATAAAAGATTTTATATTTTACCATAAAAATCTATTATAATTGAAGGCTGAGGCGCATAGAACCAAAGCAGCAAAAGGGTTTATAATTTTTATACAGGATAGGTAGGTGATTAAAGTTTTGATTATTTTTCAACATTTATATATAACTAATATTATTATTATTTCTAATAATAAATACAATTAAGTAACCACTACAGTATTTCCAGTAATTAAAAATGTATCAACAATATGTTAACTAAGTTTTTAAATTTAAAGTGTTTTTGGTATGATAGTTTATTAGTATAAACTTGGTTACACCACAGTCCACAGAATATATTAATTACTATATATTATTATGTGTTTAAAAGTTAATAAGTATGTTTGTAATTTTAGTTCCAGTTATGATAAAACAATTGTAGGGAATGATATTGTATTTTCAATCTTGGTCTATGATTGGGCTTAATTTTAATATTTTCCCCGGGCGTAAAAATTCTTAGATCCGACTCTGAATATAGTAGGTAAATATTATAGATGGTTGTTTAATTTTTAGCAAACGGACGATAATGGCCCGGGTCTACAGGGCCTGTGCGGCTATGCCAAAATACGCCTCTGACAACGCCCCCCCCCGGAGGTCCGGGCCCTGGGGCTCTGGCCCCTACTGCCCCACCCTCTCGCCGGCCCTGGTACCAACTGTCGTAGTCTTTCGAAGTCGTATTGTCGTAGTAGTATAAACTATTGTCGTAGTCGTAACCGCGAACATGTTTCGGACGATGCGACCGGCGCACGCTCCCGCTTCCGTCCACCTACCCACACTCGAAAACTTCGTTACTCGCCATTAATTTTTCATTCGCTTTCGCGACCGTTGTTTTCTTTACCGCAACCATTGTCAATGCAATACATTGCTCTAAAGACGATTCCTTGTCGTTGTCCGTACACCGCTCGTCGATAACCCGCGTAGACAATAATCGTCGGAGGTAGACATTTCTATAGACGACTGCGATACCTCCACAATATTATGTTCCAACCATAGATATATACAACAACTAGATAGCCGTCTCCTTCTTGTCATCGAAGTCGGCCGCCATTTACAAAGTAGGCAATGCTTACAAAATAATAATATCATCGTATATGTATACATAAATATATATGTATATAATTGAATGTAAAATAAATGTAAACATTGCCTGCTTTGTAAATGGCGGCCGACTTCAATATCGGTCACCACTGTAGTACGAAGACGGCCATCTAGTTGTTGTATATATCTATGGTTCCAACACAGGTCACAGAGATCTATACCACACTAGATAGGGAACTCTTATACAAATTACATTGTTATTAAGTGGAGCTCAGCTGTGAACGGCCGCCCTTTTTGTCGGTTGGCAAAACATTTTATTTGTTATACAAAATGTACATAAGGAATAATTATTTTTTTTAACGGTCAAATAAAATATGTAAAATGACTTTTATAAAATATTTTATTTTTTTTGTAACCTAAATGTTTAGAAATAATAAAATACGATATAAAATAAATATCATAATGTCATCTTATTTTTCATATTAAATACCATACAATTGCCAACCGACATAGAAGCTTCAGACCGGAGTTCGCTATCTAAGATAGATATATAGAAATATAGATATATAGATATATAGAAATCTGTGTGTTCCAATACCTTGTGGGGACTGGCAACACTGGCTGGCGGAATGTACGCGTACAACCTGTTATCATAACACCGACTACTGATAATAGATATCGACGAGAACAATCAACAAGATATCGATTGTCGAGTTTTGGAAACCACGTAATAATTTATGATTGGACATTTCGATCGGACGACGCCGAGTTTCGATACAAACGCGAAGTGTTTTGTATGAACAAGTGTTATAAAATATTCAAACGATTACGAAATACGCAATAGTGTGAACGCAATAGATTAATTTATTTTGTCGCGCAGAATAATAGTTAACATAAACAAGTGTTTCGAACAAACGATTACGAAGTACGTAATAGTGTGAGTGAACGCGCAATAAATTGATTTATTTTGTCGCGCAGAATAACAGTTTTACGTTATTTTACCATAACACTGTTTGACAGGTATAATATATTATACGCGTTGACGATATACATATTCTGTATACCGTACTCTAATCCCACTAAATAGTGGTTCGAATTGGAATAAAATTCGGCTATTTTTTCGGAAACATTTATAATGGATTATTGTGGCGCCATAATATATCCAGAGTTCTTCCCCGAACTCGTGTTGGACAATATATTTTCACACTTGGAGTTGCCCGATTTGCTTAGCTGCATGTTGGTTTGCCGAAATTGGAATCAGGCAATCAACGGCGATTCAACGGAGCCGTGGAAATCGATGTGTCGCTTCCAGACGTCCGATAAATTTTTGAACTCGGAACATTTATCATCAATGAGCAGCTACAAAGACAAATTACGCGCCATACTTAATTCATGGAATCCAAAGGATTGTTCCCCGAACATTGCCGTCGAAAATTATGGTTTCACATTCCTTCGCAATCTAGTCGCAGACAGTACGGATATGGTACGGACTAAAACTGGTTATAACACTGGTAAACACATTTGGGAAATTACATGGAATCAACCACTAGGTAAAAAGATATTCGATTTCTAAGATACTGAACAAGAAATTATTGCAAATATCAATTGTTTTGTTTATAGGTACAGTTGCGATGGTTGGTGTGTCAACAAAAGAGGCGCCATTGCAATGTAGTGGTTACAAACATCTGTTGGGCTTTAACAAACATAGTTGGGGTTGGGATTTAGTTGGTAACTATTTGGTACACAATGAAATATCATATGGTGCCTACCCATTGTTAAGGAATGCTCCTGAATATAAATTTGGTGAAAAATTACTTTTAGTACTAGATTGTGAGAATGGTACTTTGCACTTTGAAAAATGTAATACATTTTTAGGTATAGCTTTTACACAATTACCTGATACTAAATTATATCCTACAGTGTCAGTTGTTTATGGTAACAGTAATGTATCAGTGCTGTATATTGGTAACAAGGGGTTCACGTCACGCAAAACCTAATTCTCATTATACTATCCTCGCAATAAGCGGCGGAATACAATCTGATTTGATTTTTGCCGCGTTGAGTTTGCTTGCGTAGGCCGCGCTCGCTCTAAGCCTCAATATAATTTAGTAAACCTAGTTTTTGTAAGAATTCAATTTAATAGATTATAAAATACCGATTGACATAATGTTTAAATAGATTCCTTTATTGATGTTCATAAATCTAAAATCAATAATTAAGTAATTTAATGATTTTTAATTTAAAATACATAGTTTAGCTTCATAATAACTTACACATTTTAATTTACTAAAATTAAATATTATAACTTTGTAGATTAATGTACCTAGCTTATGTTTGTAAACCTTTGAAATTACAAAAATTATAATATATTATTGGTATAAGTTCTTTTTGTGGTGTATGGAATAAAATTAATTTTTAGTTTATATTAATTAAATAATATGATTAGTGTTTAATTATATTTAATTTATTTTACTACTTCTAATTTTTGTTGAATACAACCTATAGTTGAATTTCCCTGTTATTTTCACCTAATTAAAAAAATATTGTAAGATGTTCAAATGTATTTTAAATTAAAGTTGTTCTCAATATTTTTGAATTTTTTGAATTGTACAATACATTTTAAAGGATATACTTAACCTAACCTTATTGTAAAAACAAATGACTGGATTTTCTAATAAAAATTTGAATATGTAAATGTGTAATAGTTCAAATCCATGAATTAAGATACCTTTTGTCTTAATTCGTTGTTGAATCTAACGATTTTGTAGAGTGATACTATAGAATTACCATACAACACATAACATAAAATTTAAATTTGAATTAATACATAATGGGTACCACTACCCAAGGGCCATGATATTTTCTACAAAGTCTACATTATGCGGGTCTTTATAGTAAATATGGCAATAGCCTACACCAGCGGTCTCCACTATGCGATCTTTTATTACATTTTATGCTGCCTGCTTTAAAACTGAATTGTATATTTTTATAGGTGATTATATAAATATTAGGGTAATTCTTATTTTGTAGTTTAATTATATGCAATATATTAAATTTTTTATCTTATATTATTATTCTTATTTATTGTATCCGTCTATTTTAAGCTTTTATTGAATTACTAATTACATAGATGAGTAGGTACAAGTATGAGTTTATTTATTTCCATTTTCCACTTTGTATATCTGTGTGATAACTGAACAGTGTATAGCTTATTAGTTGTTTATAATTTGTCTTTTATCATTTTAATTTATTTGAAATTGTTTAACCATTTGCTCATAATAATATATTCTGTATTTTATTCCATTCTTTGCTTCTGTGATTACTTCAATAGTTAAATAAAAGGCCAAAAAAGGTGGGAGAGTGGGTGTCAATCTGCTTTACAATAGGTTAGAATAAGTGGTCACTGTCATGGATGGTGTTTTTGAATTCAATGATATAATATCATTGTATAAGAAAAACAACTTGACGGCTGGAATTCCAATCACTGTACCCGCTCATGTCATCAACATGCTCTGTGGATCTGTGCTGAAGTGAGCTGAAATGAGCATTATTTATAAATTACTTACTTTTATATACAACTAATAAGTAAGTTTTGTAGGATACAAATTATTTAAATTGTATTAAAAATAATTGGTGATTATTCCCTAGGGCTGTGGTTCTTGGGTACCAGGCAATCAAATGTGGAGATTCTTCAATTGTAATTCCGGATGGTCTAGAGAGTATTAGCCACACTCCTCAAGTTGTTAATATACGATCTGGGATTAAAATGGGTAACACAGAATTAACGGATACAATGTTATGTGATGGACTGAGAGACGCATTTGACAAAATACACATGGGTATATGACTGGTAAGAATATAAAACATTACTCTAAATCTATAGATAGGTATTATATTTGAATCAGTTGAATAATAAAATTATTAATATTATAATACGTATTTAATTTTAGATTTTTGGAAAAATAAATTAGCTTTTTTGATGTTTTAATTTTAAAACAAGGTATGATAATGACAATTTTGTACATACCTATTAGTATTTATTATATAGTATCTTAATAGTTAGTTTATATATAATATTTTAAAATAAAGATAAAGAACTGCCATAAAATTATACATTTATTTTACTATGAGGAAAATAGCGGGCAGTTTTTTTTTTTAGACTGAGCATAGTGAAAGAATGTGTTTCGTCTGTCCCTTTTGAAGTAGTAAAAGTTTTATATTTTTTTTAGTTTTAGTTCAAATATTGTCAATAAATAAATTTGTGCTAGATTAAAAATCTTAACAATGTAATGTAATTCAAGGTTCTTAATCAGTTGTTAACTGAATAAAAATTAAGTTGAGTGTAAGTCTACAATAATTTTATATGAGTCTGCAGATAAAATTTCGACAAAATTAAACAAATTATTTCATTTCATAGCTAACATTTGAAAGTTAAACGGAAGATGTATCATTAGTTTTTCTACTTTAAACAAAAAAAAGTAGCTCTGCTGTACAGTAGGTTACAAGTGGGTTACTTTAATAGATGGTGTTAAATTTGAATTCAATGGTAAAATATCATTGTATACAAAAAACGATTTTGGGCAAAAACGGTCAGTCAGCCTATGTTACAAAGTATATTTGATGATATTTAAATGAATAAAGTAATTTATATATAACCTATTTATTTACGTAGAATCTCGTTTTAAATTTCCAATCCTTAGCTATAAAAGTTGAACATTTTATAAATTTTTAACTACAAAATAGTTATTCAATTTTAAATTTGTTAAATTTTGTCAAAATTCGATTTAAATTAATTTTAATAGCAATAATATCATAAAATGTACTTTGTTATATAGGCTGGCACATAATTGTTTTTAGTGTTCAATGGTTTTATATCATCAACTGCAAATTTAACATATTATCCATTACAGTGACCCTACGAAACCTGATCTATTGCAGAGCGGTAACCACTAGCCCTACTTTTTTTGTATTGTCCATAATGTATGGACACTTTAAATCTTCTTCTTCTGGCCTATTATTACGGACCATTGAGGTCCTTTGCCGCTTCCACAACCCTTCTCCACTGATTCCTATCCGTTGCCATGTCGATGCTGAAGGTGTTGTTTATTTTTGACAGGTCTTTCTTCACCGAATCAAACCATCTCTGACGTGGTCTCCCCAGGGGTCTCTTTCCAGTTGGGTTCTCCACCATAACCTTCCGTATGAGGCATCCTTCTGCCCTCCACACCTGGCCTGCCCATTCTTTAAATCTTTATTTAGTATATTTTTAAAAAAGTAAATAAATTATTTTAGAACTTATAAGAATTATATATACAATTTGTATTACTCTATAATTAAATACTGTTTAAAAATATTTTGTTTTCAGCTGAAAATATTGCAAAATTTATGATATTTCGAAGGAACTTCAAGACAATTATGCTATTGAGTCTCTGACACTTACAGCAGAAGCTCAAAAAAATGGTTACTTCACAGATGAAATAACACCAGTTGAGCTGAAAGTACGACAGAATACTATCATATTTGACACAGAAGAATATCCAAAAAATGATACTACGTTAGATTCATTAGCTGCATTGAGGCCTGTTTTTAAATTGGTAATATAAAAAATATTAAGTAATTTCTTCTACCAATAATTTGAATGACTGATTAAACATATTTAAAATGGTGGTGTAGTTATGGCTGGAATGCATCAGAAATAATCTATGGTGCTATAGTACTTCTAATGTACGAAGAAGAATGCAAAAACAAGGTTGTACTCCATTGGCTAAAATTGTAGGTCATGCTGAGAGTGGGGTTGATCCAAAAATAATGGGTACTTAACCAATACCTGCTTTGTTGAAGACTGTAAGTATAAACAATGTCTAATTAGTGACAAAAGTCATTTTAATACAATATTTAATGTACCTGATTTATTTTATAACGTATAAAAATAACTGTGCTCACGATTAAAATAATTTACAGGGAGTAATTAACCCAAAATGTTTTTACTTGTAGAGTGAATATTAAAGTGTTGAGTGATTAAAATGTCTTGATGGCAACAGCAATACCCATACCTCCGCCAACACATAAGGATGCTATGCCTCGTTTTTTGCCGATTCTCAACAAGACGTGCACCAGCGTTACCAATACTCGAGCACCTGATTAAATATATCATAAAATTTAGTCACATTAATTTAATTGTTTAAAAGCAATTTTTCATTACAATATTATAAACTATTTAAACTTACTGTGTGAGGTTATGGCAGGAAATCAAAAGGTTGATTTAGATATAACGCCAAATATTTTAATTATGCACTGATAAGTGTAGATGTTGAACATACTTTTTCATTATATAAACATACTTTAAGTAACAGACGATACAATTTTCAAGAACACAATTTGTTTATACATTTTAATTCATAATAATGATATATATTTTAAGTTTTATAATATTTTATAATTCTGTAATAAGTTAAAGTCTGTTATTTAACTAAGTAATTTACAAAAATATATTATTTTATATGATTTTTTTGTATAACTTAAATGTATTTTTCATTGCAAATTGGCCATAATTTTAACACAATTATATCTGGTCTTTAGTTATGAGAGTTATGAGAACGTTATTATGAATCATCACCTTGTATGTAGGATCGGTGATAGATATTATTGTCAGAGTTTGTGAACTTTTTTTTATTAAAATTTGTACTTAAGTATAAAAATACCTTGTTGATTGGTTAAATAGAAATAAAATATATTCCTTGTATATTATATACACCACTATAATAACTACAAATTATTATAAAAGCTAAAAATCAACAACTCAATAAACTACTGTAATTAATAAGAGTCGGTTAATATTTAAAAATAGTTAATTGCATATCAAAGCTGCTGTCTGCACTTGCAAATATAATATTACCCTAAACACCATGCAAGACTAAGCATGATTTATTTTAAACATAGTTATTATACATTTACTCATACATATACTTGAATCTTAACTTTAAATATATAAGAAAGA